ATACATGTATTCTTATAGAAGGATATACATTCATACAGAAATATTGTAATATACTTATTGAAAATAGTGATACTTAACTTTTATCATTATAGCTTGATTTGCAAAGGATTCAAAATTTTGCGCTTCTTGATTGTTAGAAATAAGCAAACAAACAAAAAAGCTTGGAACTATTAATAAATTCAAGAACTAAAAAGAAGAATTTAAAATTTGGCATTTCTTAAATATTAGAAATAAGCCAAACAAAACTTTCAAAACTTGTAACTACTAACAAACTCTAAGTCAGGAATTAGTGCTATTTTGTCAAGCTAAAAACTTTTTTTCAGTTGAAAAAGCACATTAAACAAAACTTAATTACAAACAAAATTGCATGTTCAGTAGTCGGGGTCAATGTGCCAAAGCATACAATAGCAAGTGACTAATTTTGAAATGTTGAAAATTTTGTTTAGTATCCTAATATTTTACTTCAAATAGTATGTTTTGATATAATCATGTTGGGAAAATGCAAGAATCTGTTCTTAAATATTTTTTAAAAACTTTTTTTCTAATTTTATTGCCCAAAAATTATTTAATTAAAATTTATAAGCAGTTAAACTCAAATAAAATTACAGTATAACCAAAAAAATGGGTTTTTGACGTTTTTGACATGACGGTAAAAACTGTCATGTGTCAAAAACTTGCCAACCCTGATTTCTGATCCTTAGAAATAAGTTGTCTGCTTGCTATGAAATTGGGTTTATATGTTGTAACAATCCAAGCTGCAATGTTTACTTTTTTTTTTAAAAAAAAATAAACTTTCGATTTAAATTTTATTTTGCATTTTTTTTAAAGTGTTGTCTTTTTAACCCAAGTTAATAGAAGAAGAAGAAAAAAATTATCAGAAGATAAGATCTGCTATTATTTTCACTATAATATACTAAGACTTTTTCACTAAGAAAGGTTTTTATATTTATTAATTTTTGAACTGAAATAGTTATTTAATGCTATAAAAAATTATGTGAATCGGTTTCGTCAAATAAGTTTGTTCTAATAGTTTTTTTTACTTATATACTTAATGTTTATTGTTAGTTTTTGAATTTAAAAAGCATTTTTGTTACTAGTCTTACTAACATGTTTTTCTTGTAAATGTTTTATATTATGTTTATTAATTTTAGAGTGATGTCTTTTTGTCAAAGGCACTTGCTGACAACCTATATTTATTTCAATATCCTACAAAAAGTAATCAAGCTACCGAAAAGGCTGATGAAGAAAGTGAATGTTTAGCTGCTAGAATTAAACCTAATCAACAAAAAGTAAATGTGCATTTATATTAGTGTATTTATCATATGTAACCTGAATAATCAAATGAAATTTTGTTATTATTTAAATATGGAATGTGGTACGTATTTCTATTTATATGATGCTATTAAATCTACTCGGGAATTTTATAGCACACAACATTGAGTAACTGTTGGATTGGTAATTTTTTTTTTTTAAAATGCCTACATAACATGCTTTTTCATTTCTTTTTTAGATGTATTTAAATTCATGTTAAAAATTATTTCTTAATAAGTGGCTAAAAATATTTGGCATTCATTATTCAGGGTATCCAATATTTGGTAGGAATGTTGGACAGTATAAGGCAGTTAAATATTTTCTTAATAAATAAATTGTAGTAAATTGAATAACGCTCCCAAGATAATAAAATAAGTTGTTCAGTTTAAAGTTTTATTTATAAATTTTTTTTTTTACTAGTTTCAAACACTAACCTTGAAAAAAAATGAATAATAATTATTTGCTGCAAGGTGAATTTTTTATAGATTTGACAAATAAGCAAAATTTTTTGCCAAGACTGGCAAGTATTTGATGCATGTCAACTTTTACCTTCATATAAAAATCCTTTTTGTCAAAAGTGCCAAAAACCTAGATCTTTGGGACCACTGTATTATCATTTATTACAACTAAATGAAGCCTAAATGCAAAGTCATAAAAGATATTTGCTAAAAAATTTCTTCAGATTATTAATCAAAATATAATTTGTAGGTTTTATTTATTTGCACGAGTTCTCAATTCAATAAAAGTTTTAAAATTAAATAAAATGTTAGTGGTTTTTCAATTAGTTTATCTTAAGTTACACATTTTTTTAAAAATATTTCAAGATTATATTCTGGTATCCAAATGTATTCTAAAAATATAGATGCTGAGTGGATATCAATAATGCAATAAAATTTGTGTGATAAAATTTTTTTTAAACATATTTTTAATATTTTATAAGGGAAAATTTTTGTTTTTTAGTATATTTGCAAATCTAAATTTAAAAGTAAGTTACTCAACGTTTAATAACTTATCTTTGGCAGTATATTAAAATTATCTATGTACATTATATCAGAATTAATTGTAAAGATACTTTTTTTAAAAACTTGTCTGCTGTACCATAACATCAGGAAAAAGTAGATTTTAGATGCTTTTTATCCATAAAAGCATGGTTTTTACTTATGTTGTGTCAATAACTCAACCCAGCTTAATAAAAAGTAAAGACTTTGTCAATTAGCTAATAAATGACTACTAATATATTTTAAAAGCTTTATTTTTGGTGTTTTGTTAAGCATCTTTTATTCCTGCCCCTGCCTACAAACAAAATGTTTTTTTAATTATGAATATATTTTTTTATTTTCCTAATTTAAGGGTACACAACCTTTTTAAATGAAGGGCCCCTTGCACAGCAGGTTGAAAAGCGAAGGGCTGTACATATGATTATTCATGTTGGCAGCAAATATGTTAATTTTTATGTAAACATTAGTGTTCCAAGAACTAAATTTTTATCAGTTAACTTAATAATGTATGTGCAGAAAATTAAGTACTTTTAATTATTAAAATTTATTCAAAAATGAAAAGGTATGTTTTTTTTTTTTTTTAATTTTCCCCTTTTTGATTAATAATTGATTTATCAAAAAAAAAAAATTTATATGCATCTATTTATGAATATTATGGGGAAAAACATTAATTCCAAAATAAAAAAATATGCTGCAAGTGTTAAAAAAAAGTACAGGCATGTTTTAATGAATAATATAAAATTGACATAAATATTTAATAATTAAAAAATAATATTTAATAAATATAAGAGTTTAAAAAACAAAACAAAAATTAAAACAAAATTGTTTTAGTACAGAAAAAGATTCTGTATATATTTGGTATTATANATATTCATTCCAAAATAAAAAAATATGCTGCAAGTGTGAAAAAAAAGTACAGGCATGTTTTAAAGAATAATATAAAATTGACATAAATATTTAATAATTAAAAAATAATATTTAATAAATATAAGAGTTTAAAAAACAAAACAAAAATTAAAACAAAATTGTTTTAGTACAGAAAAAGATTCTGTATATATTTGGTATTATATTTCAAATATTATTTCTATTTCTTGACTTTCTAGAGGTTTTATTGATTTTAAATAGGAAAAGTTATTTTCCTAAAAAATCCCCTAAGCTACAAAAATTTTAAAACAAAATTACAAACCGTGAACAATTTGAAAATTCGAGTTCTCCTGCACTTTTCTAATTTTTCTTGTTGCAGTAACATTGCATTAAATATCAGAGTTCTAAATACCTTGTGTGAATACATGGTGCTAACTGCCAAGAAAAATGAAGGAAAAACTTATATTTACTATGAAATATGCAAAAATTTATTGTATCAAAAAGTGACAGCACATTGTATCAGCATGACAGTTAAAACAACGGGATCATTAAATTCACATGAAGAAACATTGCAATTATTAAAAAGAAACAAAACATTTTAAATTACAGTGAAATCAGCACGATTAAAGCCCGTATACAAGTATTTATTTAAATGCATGATCTAAAATTCATACATTGTAATAAAAATCGGAATTTTTAAGACCACTGGGCAATACATCATAGAGGGTGCCAAAAAAAACTTTGGATTTTAAATAAAATTAGCAAAATCGAAGCCTGTCAAAATGTGAAATTTTAATGTGTGATTTGAAACTCGTATGTCATTATAATATCGTAATAAAAATGTGAGATTTCCAAAATCACATAGAAAAGCATAGCTATAACTACCTTTAAAAAAACAAACAACAAAAAATCATTTAGATTAGGATGATGTCGTTTCGTCACTAATAAAAGATGTCAAAAAGTAATAAATGAAATGTGCAACATGAGTCATATCGTAATCGATGTAGTGGGATTTTAAAAACTGCTTGTAAATTACTAGTTATGAATGCTAAAAAACGATCGAAACGTCGCTTGAATTTATGATGAAATCGGCAACAATAAATTCACAAAGCGATTACTTAAATTAGAAATTTGTGTATCGTAATATTATGTTAAAAATATCTAGTTTCCTAATATCATGGAGAATTTCGTAACAATAACTGTTGAAAAAGTGATTGAAAAATAACGTAGATATACCATAGAATCTACGCAAATCGAGCGCATTAGAAAGTGATGACTCAATATAAAATTGTATAATTTTTTTTTATACTGTGTTCATAAGCTCCTGAGGGGCCGCAGGTTGCCCGCCATTACTCTAACCAATCAATTCTAACTATTTTTAATGCTTCTTTGATTTTTGTAAAACATTTCTTTCTTTAATTTTTAAAAATTCTTTTTACAGATTGAAATGGAATTTGGTCTTAATGTTCACAGCAACAGTTATGACAAGAGCAGAGGTGAACATATAGCTTTAAATGTAGATGGTAAAGCCAATGGAAATAATACTTTTTTTAATAGGTAAAAAGATTTAAACATAAATGTAATTTATTAAATTCATGATGTTTATTATATCCACGATATGTTGCTGTAAAAGTCCTGAACTGAAAAAATTAGACTTATTTTAAATTTATGATAAAACTATGGTGTTGTAATCTTTCTGAAATTTTATTTTTCAAACTTAAAATATTAGTTTTAAATTTTGTAGAGAATGGCCTAAACCTAAGAATAGCCTATGATTTATGAGATTATTCTGGAACTAAGGAATAGCATTTATTTCTTGCAAGGATCATTAATGGTATACTCAAAACTTATGACCATAATTTTTAATCTTAAATTTTAGTTCAGCATAGAATTTTTTTTATCTTTGAGATAGTTTTAACTTTGATCATTATGACCAGTTTTGTATTTATTTTAGCAGTTTTCAGTCTTATTTTAATATATTATCATAGGGGATAAAGGGGATCAAATGCTGTTTTTCTAAGTTTCATATTAATCTAATTTAGCTTTGAATGTTGTATGGTAAGAAATTGTCTTACAAAGGATTAAAAGTTTAGCATGTAATTAAAGCTTGTTTTTAAAAATGAAATAATTTAAGTATGTATGTTAATTTCAGCCCATATATGGATAAATCTGTGATTAGTGGCTCAAAAGCTATTATGAATCCTGAAAATTATGCTTTAGGCCTTTTAAAAAAAGGTAGTTGTATATTTTTTTTAATATAATTTTTGAAATGTTTATTTCTAAGTTTTTTTTCTGAAAATTCTTTATCTTTTATTTTGTTCACGAAAGTTTTTCCCTCCCCATTTATCTAGGAGAATTGCATTTAGTTCCATTCTATTCAATTCTGGAACTGCAACCACATTGTGTTCAGATGGATAAAATGGATAGTCAAGCAAAAAAATCTAATCCAGGTAATTATTAAATGATAAATTCATATAATTAAATAAATAATGAATATCGATCATTTATATTATTATAGTTAGGAAAAAAAATTGGATTTTAAAATTCATAGGGAAACCAGTTGTATTTGTGAAAAAAAAAAATGAAAATTTTATAAGAAAATAGTAAAAAATGAAGTGCATTAAAAATTTATTATTTTAAAGTGCAATTGGCGGATAATATTGTATTTGTTGTAAATATAACGTGTTAAAGTTGTTATCAATTACCCCCCTATAAAGTGATTCACTAGATAGACCTCATGAATTTGCAATGGAACTATTTTAAATATATTGAGATTTTTAAAACCGCATGGTAATCTGTAGCAATAACTGAGTGAAAAAAAATTGAAAAACTATATGAATCTTTATTGAGTTTGTCAAGAAAATATTGCATTGAAGATATCAGGATTGGAAAAGGCAAATGATAGCTAAAAATATTATTGAAAAACCATGTGAACAATGGAATTATCACCAGTTGAGCATTTTATGAAAGTGATAATGAAAATGTGAAATTTGAGAACAATATGTCATTAATATATCGTAAAAAAAAAATCAAGATTTAAATTACGAATTAGTGTTTAAAATATTTTGAAATTGGAAACATAAGGTATTCAAAATACTTTACAATTTAAATATTCTTCTGTTCTCTGCATAAATATGCACTAACTAATATGTACCAAAAACTTGTATAATACTTGTTCTTAAACTTTTTTTTATGTTTGTCTTTCATATTATATTCTTTGACCACTTAATGAAAATTTAGGTGCTTTTTTTTTATCATTAAATTATCATTGTTAGTGTGAACTCTAAATATAAAATTATTAAATGAGTATGTAAATGATAAATCTATTTCTCAGAACTAATTGGGTCAATATCTATGAACTTCATAATTAGAATTTAATACACATAATAAAGCATAACTGAAAATTAGAAAAAAACAACATGAAATTATCCTCTTAAATTTATATGTTTACAGAAAGTTTAGAAAATAATAATTTGGAGTTATCTTAAACTTAAATTTTTTTCCACAGAGGACACTCACAATTACAGCCTCTAATTACTTAAATTTATATTAGATATAATGTGTTTAAAGTATTTATTTTTTATATTATATGGAATTTTTGAAAAGTGTTTGTTAATTTTTTAAAATTCGTTCTTTTAGAAGAAGAGGAGGAGGAAGAAGAGGCTGTTGCAGTTACTGTTCGCTTTGGTGGATCCAATGCTGATAAAAATAAACAAATGAGAGAAAGGTCTTATCAATATTATCAACAGAAAAATGCGTCTGAACCTTGGATCAACCTTAATTATCACACCCTTGGTGTAATTATTTGTATTATTTTCTCTGTTTTGAAAATGTAAAGAAAAAAATGTGTTGTAAATGTTTAAAAACATATGATTAGTATTAGTATGATAGATTTAACATGCGTCATTTTTTTATTCTTTTTATTACCATTTTAATATTCTAAAACCTTTTCTGATAGGAGATAGCACAAACTATCTTCTGTTTATGCTATAATGCCTATAATGTTAAATCTTAAACTTTTAAGTTTTTTATTTATATTATATTTAAAAAAATGTTTTTTTTGCATTGAACCTTATATGTTCAAAATACAGTGGAACCCCGATTTTACGTTGTCCGTGTCGTACGTTATTCCACTTCTTACGTCATTTTCTGCTGATTCGTGAAAATTGCCTATACCGATAATGTTAAAAAATACCGGATTTTGCGTTACTCCTTTTATGAAAATTCCGCTTGATGCGTTTTTCTACAAACAGATCAAAAAAAGTTTTTTTATTCTATTCGAAATGGTTTTACTCATTTTTCCATGCTAGCATACCAAATGAAATTTTCAGTCGGTTTTGTTTGAGTTTGAAAGATATAGCATTTTTTCTCATTTTCGAAACCTCAGTCATCGTGTTCTTTTCTCGAAAGAAGATGTCGAAACGAAAATGCTTTTCTCTGGTCGAAAAGGCTGAAATCACCGAAAAAGCTAAAGAATTTCATGGCACCAAAGTTGATCTTGCTAAATCTTTGGGTATTGCTTATTCAACTTTGCAAATGATTTTAAAGCAGAAGCTTCAGTAAAACTAAACGCTGAAAAACTTGGAAAATATGCCAAGAAGAGAAAAACCCTTAAAATATCTCCGTATGATGAGTTAGAAAACATTTTAATGAACTGGTTCAAGGAAGCCAAAGCAGCAAAGATTCCTATAAATGGATCCATCCTGAGAGAAAAGGTGCTTGAAATTGCTGAAAGGCTTAAACTCCAAGGCTTCAGTGCATCAAATGGCTGGATCGATCAATTTAAAAAAAAAAGAAAAAAAGAACAATTTATGCTTCAAATCTATCTGTTGCGAATCCGATAGTGTGGATATGACAATTGTGTAACAGGGGAAAGAAGAAACTCTGCCAAATTTATTAAAGGACTATAATCCAAGAGACATATTTAATGCGGACGAAACGGGATTGATTTTCAACCTATTGCCAAACAAGACATTGACAATTAAAGGTGAAAATTGCCATGGAGGAAAGCTTTCAAAAATGCGCTTGACTGTTTTGCTCTGTGCAAATGCCGATGGAAGCCAAAAGTTAACGCCTCTTGTGATCGGTAGAGCAGAGAAACCACAGTGTTTCAAAAATATCAAAAGTTTTCCTACCGTTCAAACAAAAAAGCATGGATGACGCAAGCATTATTTAAAAATTTTCTTCGAAAACTGTATAAGAAAATGAATTTTCAAAAGCGCAACATAATTTTATTCCTAGACCAATGCACTGCTCATTTAAACCTTAAATTGAAAAACGTGCGAATAGAGTTTTTTCCAGCTAACTGTACGAGCAAACTTCAACCACTGGATTTAGGAATTATACGATCATTTAAAGAGAGTTGCCGGAAGCAACTGGTTAGAAAATCTCTAATGTTTCTTGATTCT